GGCTGCAGAGATGCTTCTAAGGAGGAAAAAAACCCCACAGGTGGAGGTGTCAAATACCCACCCAGGCCAAGTGAAGCTGGAGCTGGGAGGCCAAAAAATCCCAGGCAGAGACCATATTTTCCTGCAGTTCTCTCACCAGGCCCTTCCTGGGATGACCCAGCCCTGACACTCACCCTTGCTGCCTGCTGTTTCTCCAGGCCCAGGCCAACACCTCTTTGCCACCATACTGAAATAGAGTGGCAGGGAGGGAATAATCCACAGGCACGTGAAAAGAAACCCTGAAGAGGCAGTTTCAGGCATGTCTCTGACCCATTGCCTCATCTTCCCAATGCTGGTCTGGCCCAGGTCTGCAGAGACTGGGGAGAGTGCAGGCACAAGGCTGCCCTGATGCCTGGACCACAGCCCAGCCCAGTGGCTCCCCAGGGAGCAGGATCTCCTGCCCCACTGCAGCCTCCGCAGCTGCCCCTCATCCCTGTGCTGGGGCTGTGCTGGAGCTAAAAGTGAGGCACCTTCTCCTTCAGGACCTTCAGGTGCGCAGCAGCAGCAGCTTGGAGACCTCTGTGTTGTGCCCCCACCACCACAGCAAGTGGAAGCTGAGTGTTTGTCTCTTCAGCTTCTGCAAACATGGCCCCAGCCTGGAGGGAGGGTGGGTGAAGCAGCAGGGTGGATGAGGGGCAGGAGAGGGGGGATGCAGCAGCTCCCCATGCCCACCCACCTGCCTGCTGTAGGCGTTTCTCAGTGAGCAGCCATTGATCTTGTCAAGGATGTCACCAGCCAGCACCACCTTGTCCACCTCCACCTGGCTCTCAGGAGCACCTTGGTGACAAAGACTCGGCCATCCACATATCTGAGGGTGCAGCAGAGCCCCAGCTCAGCCCCAGGGCCCCAGCATGTCCGCCCCCCCCAGCATTTTCAGACTGTCAGTGATGTTTCACCAATGTACAGAGGCAGGGAAAAGCCACTCCACACACAGCAGATACCAGTGAGGATGAGCCAATGGGGAGAAAAACACCAAGACAGCCCCAGTGCTTTCAATGGGGTATTTATATCCCTCTTTGAGAGGTTTTGAGTGCTGTGGTGGCCAGATCATGCTGGAAAGCTGAGAGAAGGATCAAGTGCTCCTACCTGAGCTCCATCCCCAGCACTCAGCATGGCACCATCTCGTTAGTGATGCACATCAGGAAGAGAGTGGCCAGTGACAGTGGCCTTGACAATGTCCTCAGGACACCCAAGGAGCATGACCAGGGTGAGCTGGAGCATGGCAGTTCCTTGCTCTGGATCATTTCTGGCACTGATGCCAAACCAGGAATTTGGGAGCCAGGGAGAGGCTCTAGTGTCAGGTGCCCCAGCTGGGACCAGATCAGTGGTTGCTTGTCCTGTCCTCTACTGGGATTCAGCTGTACCCTGACCCTGGCGGGACAAACCTGCTGGATGGATGGGATGGCAAAGCAGTAGGTGAACCCTTAACTCAGTGATAAGCCCTCCTCCCTCACCCCATGCGTCCCCATGCAGCTGAGGGATGCTGCCACCCCTCCCCAAAGCTGCTGCCATTTGCATCAGCACTCATTGTCACATCCCATTAGCCAGGGACCTGATCTGTGGCCAGTTCAGCTGGAAACACTTGCTGTTAGAAATTCCCAAAAGCAATCATGGTCCCAGCCTTCAGCACATTCTGGAACCAAAGCCACCTTGAGTTTTTTTTGAGAATTCTTTTGTGTTAAAAAGGCATCAGAGGAATGTTCTTCATTTTTGAAAGACATGAAGGCATCCCCACTGTTCTCAATAAATGCACCAGTATTTCACAAGGGCAAAATCAACTGATGCGTAATCTGTGTTAACCCAGGGAAATTGGGATATTTTTTGTCAAGAAATCAGGGAAGGGAGCATAGGAAATCTTCATTTATGTTATCAATTTAGGCCCGGGTACTCTGCTTGCTTGGATTTACTCCCAGGAATGCTGGGATCTGCTCCTGGTAACAGTGCAGGCACTTGGCAGGATCTGACCTCGGAGCAGAAGCGGCTTTGCTCATGCTGGTGAACCTGAGCCAATTCCAACCCCACCCCCCCCCAACGCCCCAGCTGTGCCCAGGCAGAAGGTTGTATGGCAGTCCCTCCGCATTATTCCTTATCTTCCTCACTCGGCTTTCCAGCAAGGGCCAGGCAGCGGAAAGATGGCTCTGGGGACAGACAAGCTCTTACCGGCAGCAGCCAGCTTTCATCCAGGAAGCTGCAATTCTGCAGACAAAGGAGCATCAGCACCATCAGTCCTGGCAAGGAAGGGGCCAGTGCCCTGCCTGGTCACTGTGTGCTGGCCACCACTGTGGCGACTGGTCACCGCACCTGCAGGTCCAGGGAGAAATCCATCTCTGTCACCACCACCAGCAGCGAGAGGAAAGGCTCTGCAGAGGGGTGGTGATGGAGAGGCAGCGTCACTGCTGGATGCCCGGCAGACACAGTGTCGCACAGATATGGCAGAGGTCTGAATAAAGTCATTTTTGGAGTAACCGGTGAGCCCTGGGGAGCAAGGCCCTAAGAGCACCCAACAGCACAGCACCCAGGCTACTGCTGCAGGCTTGTCCTGGGCTCCTGCTGCTGGTGCAGGGAGAGAAGCACAGCATCTACACACCACATACCCCCAAAGTCAGACCAATGCTCACAGCAAACGCTGCTGGCAAGCAACTTTCTCTCCATTCCACCCTCTAAATGCAAAGCAAAGCTGCCCAGGCTCCCCCGCGCGAGCCTTGCAGCTACACTGATGGAGATCTGCAATCTGCCCATGCATCAGCAGTATGGGTGATTTATAGGCCATCTAGATACAGATTTAACACAGAGTTATTTGTCATAATCAAAAGATTAAAGGCTTTCACCCTGGCCAGGCCCCTTGAGGAGCGTGGCTGTGGATGGAGTGGTGCAGCCTGTCAAGACAACACAGCCATTTACTGCACCAACCTGCCCGTGTGACCCCAGGCTGCCCAGCCGCCAAGGGCTCCCCTGGAAGCCAGACCTCTGCATCTGCTTTGATTCTTGGTACAAGACACTTCAGAAGCAATTTTCCTATCCTATGGCACTAAAACCAACCTTAGATATATTAAATACATGTTTAAAAATTTACACCTCTTTTTCCATCACTGCAGCAGCATATTTAAGTTTTACCACTGTTTGGCTTAGAAAAATCACAGTAGACTGTTTTCCTCCCCCTTGCAGCAGCGTGGGGTTGTAACGCCCGTGACAGCCACCAAGGGGCAGGTTACATAAAATCCCAGACTGGTTTGTACTGGAAGGGAGCTCAAAGCTCATCCAGTTCCAACCCTCTGCCACAGGCAGGGACACCTTCCACTAGAGCACCTTGCTCCAAGCCCCTGTGTCCAACCTGCCCTTGAGCACTGCCAGGGATGGGGCAGCCACAGCTTCTCTGGGCACCCTGTGCCAGCACCTCAGCACCCTCACAGGGAAGAGCTTCTGCCCAAGAGCTCATCTCAATCTCCCCCTCTGGCAGGTTAAAGCCATTCCCCTTCTCCTGTCTTTGTCCAAAGCCCCTCTCTAGGTTTCTTGTAGCCCCTTTAGGCGCTGGAGCTGCTCTAAGATATTCCCAGAGCTTTCTCTTCTCTTCTTCAGGCTGAACCAGCCCAGCTCTCTCAGCCTTTCTCCATAGCAGAGCTGCCCCAGCCCTCAGAGCAATTCCGTGGCGTCCTCTGGACTCACTCAAGCAGGTCCATGCACCTCCTGAGCTGGGGGCTCCAGAGCTACGTATGTGCCTGTATGTATATCTGTTCTGGGTTTGGCTGTAACAGTTATTTTTCTCCTTAGTATCTGGTGCAGTGCTGTGTTTTGGCTCTAGTCTGAGAGTAACACTGGTAACACACCAGTTTTAGCTGTTTTAACTGTTGCTAAGTAATGCCTGCCGTGACCAAGGACTTTTCAGTCTCAAGCTCTGCCAGCGCAGAGGGACACAAGGAGTTGGGAGGAAGCAGAGCCAGGACACCTGACCCGAACTGGCCAAAGGGGTATTCCATACCACAGCACATCATGCCTAGTATAGAAACTGGGGGAAGTTACCTGAAAGGGCTAGATCACTGCTCAGGTAGGGCTGGCTATCAGTTGGCAGGTGGTGAGCGGTTGTATTCTCCCCCCTTGTTATTTCCCTTATCATCATTATTATTGGTGGTAGCAGCAGTGGTTTTGTGTTATACCTTAGTTACTGGACTGCTCTTATCTCAACCCGTGGGAGTTACATTTTTTCGATTCTCCTTCCCATCCCTTTGGCAGCAGGGGGAGGAGTGAGAGAGCGGCTGCGTGGTTCTGGGTTGCTGGCTGGGCATAAACCACGACAGTATCAAAAGCACAGACAGTGGATGGATGCAGGTACAACGCAGGCAGCGATGTATGTATACGTGTATATCTGTCCATACATGTAAAACATACGCCGGCATGTGTCAGTGCCTGTACCACCGGTGCATACACACACGTGTATCTGCACCTCTCGTTGGGCACCGCGGGTGCTGCTCTACGTGCAACGACACACGGGGCTGGGCGCAGCCCCCTCCCTGCCCGCGGGCACGCACAAGCGGGAGCAGCCCCCCCGTGCGCAGGGAGCGACCCCCGGCCCGCGGCTCCTGGGAGCGCCACGAGCGCGAGCGCCGTCGGGGGGCGGGGCAGGGCTGGAGGGGGCAGGGCTCGGGGGCGGGGCTCGGGGGAGGGCTCAGGGGCGGGGCGGGGGGAGGGCTCGGGGGCGGGGCTGGGGTGGGGGGAGGGCTTGGGGACGGGGCTCGGGGGGAGAGGGCTCGGGGGCGGGGCTCGGGGGAGGGCTCGGGGGCGGGGCGGGGCGGGGGCAGGGCTCGGGGGCGGGGCTCGGGGGGGGGAGGGCTCGGGGGCGGGGCTCGGGGGCGGGGAGGGGGCAGGGCTCGGGGGCGGGGCTCGGGGGGGGGGAGGGCTCGGGGGCGGGGCTCGGGGGGGGAAGGGTTCGGGGGCGGGGCGGTGTTCGGGGTGCGGGCGCTGGGGGCGGGGCGGCGGAGGGGCCATGGCGGAGGCGGTGGCTGTGAGGGGGTCGGTTCCGTTGGTGGCGGCCGCCTGCCGGGCGCACGAAGCGGCTTTCGGGGGGCCGGCGTCGCTGGCGGCGTGGGCCCCCGGTCGGGTCAACCTCATCGGTGAGCACACCGACTACAACGGCGGCTTCGTGCTGCCCATGGTAAGGGCTGTACTCCCCGGCGCTGTGAGCCCGCGGTGTCACCCTTCCGGGTCCTTCCTGCGGCCTCGCGGTGTGCGCGGCTTCCGTCTTGCCCCTTCCCCAGGATATTCTCCCCGGCATCCCCCCAACCACTCCTGGGAGCAGTGGAGCTCAGAGAGCACCGGGGGCAGATCCTTGCAGACTGGCTCCTGACTCATCGCAGGGGGAATGTGATTCCGACCGCCTCCTTGAGGCGCTGAAGCCTCTTTTCTATAACCCTGTCAAACATTTTCCCATTCCCACAGAGCGATATTTTGGTCGCCAAAGATGGTTTGAAGTAGCTGGGGCTTCCTGCCCTCCTTTGGCTCGATGAGGATGCCCTCGCTCAGCCTTAAATCAAACCTACAGCTAATTATTTGGAGGCCAAGGAGAGTGGGAGCAGGTCAGCTGATTTCCTCTGCAGTCAAGAAAAGTTCCTCCAAGCCTCTTGCGGCCTTGTCCTGGGTTTCCACTTTCCTGGAGTGCAGCAACCAGCACCCTGGCACTGAGCTGGCGGGGTTGGTCACAACATTCCAATGCTAACACTGACCCGGTCTGGCATTACATAGTTTAATGCTGTGACAAGCTGGAGTGTGTGGTGGGGACTGCAGCTCCACATAGGCACAATTAAAGGTAACAAGTGTCGGGTGCTGCCTGCAGTGGGTTTGAACCAGCTCAGCTGTCCACTGGCACCAGGGGGATGCTCCAAGGGATGTTGTGGGGTCTGAGCCCACCTTTACGCTCCTTCAGGCCCTGCAGCTGGGGACGGTGCTGGTGGGATCCCCCATGAAGGACAGGACCATCTCCATCCTCACCACCTCGGCAGAGGCAGACAAGCCACACTTGGTGCAGTTCCCAGCTCCCTGCCAAGGCAGCCCCCTGAGCCCAAGGCAGCCTCGCTGGGCCAACTACATCCGGGGTGTCATCCAGTACTATCGGGGTAAGGCCCAGGATGCCCTTGGGTTAGAGCCCTCTCACATGGGGCCAGTGCTCAGCAGCCAGTTTTTGGCATTCTCCTGGGGCTCTTACAGTGCTGCTGCCAGGACTGGGCTCCAGCAGAGATGCTTATACCCCTGTTGGTTGGGGGGTCTGTGCCCGGATTACACTCTGCCATGGGTCACCCTGTGTTTTAAAGTGGGATATTGGATAGGGCTCCTTTCCCGTCACTTCACCTCACAGCCCCCCTCCTTCCTGCTCTTCCTTCAGGTGGTCCTGTGCCAGGCTTCAGTGCTGTGGTAGCCAGTGACATACCCCTGGGCGGGGGCCTTTCCAGCTCAGCTGCGCTCGAGGTGGCTACTTACACCTTCCTCCAGCAGCTCTGCCCTGGTAAGGCAGCACCCAGCCCTGGCCCCAGGCGCTTCCATGTCCGGGTGGGAGGTGGGATGAGGGGGATGCTATAACCCCAAACACCACTGTGGCATAGGTCAAACCCTCCCGTCACCAGAGCTGGCACCACTGTGGCTCTGGGGCACCTCTGGCTCACCCAGCCTGGCTTGCCGATGCCTCTAAAGCCCATGGACCACCTCTGGGATTGGCTGGGGATGAGAGGATGTTCCATTGGGAGCATGTCCCCATCTGTATGTCCCCAAAAATTGAGAGATTTGAGACACCAGCGTCAAATTATCACATCCACTTGGATCTGGTGACCCAGTCTGGCACAGATGCTGTGCACTGGTGCAGGAGCAAAACCTGCAGCTGATGCTTTAGCAACAACCCTTTCATGGGAAAGCAGCCCTTTATCCTTCATGTTTGTTTGCTCTCCCTGCTCCAGGACAAGGGGGCAAAGGTCCCAGTGCTGCTAACCTGCCTCTCTCTGCTCTGACACAGATGATGGTGATTTGGTGGCCAAGGCGCTGGTGTGCCAGAAAGCAGAGCACACGTTTGCAGGCATGCCCTGTGGGATCATGGACCAGTTCATATCTGTAATGGGCAAGGAAGGCCACGCGCTGCTCATTGACTGCAGGTCAGGGCCGAGCACTGAGCTCAATGTGCTATGCCCACCTCCTCGGGCACATGGACACAGGCTGATCCCATGGACATGAAATAAATGCAGGCATTCAGGGAGGGGATAACCCCTGCACACAGCCCATAATCTTGTTGGAGGGCTGGGACCCCTGAGTCTTAATTCCTGTGTTTTGAATTTTTCTCCTGCATACTTTCTGCTACTTGCCTGGGTTGTCTTTCCCACAGAGTTATTTGGGTCTATTATGGGACTAAGAATTGTGAAGGAGTGAAATGCTTGAGCAAATCTTAAACCAGTTGGACTTGATATCTGTGGAGGCAGGAGCTGGCCTCACCTGGATCCCCTGAGGGCTGGAGTGGGCCTGAGGGGATAGGCACACAGCCTGCACTGAGCTCTCACTGCAGGTCCCTGGAGACTGTCCCCGTCCCGCTGACTGATGCCAGCCTGGCTGTGCTCATCACCAACTCCAACGTGCGGCACACACTGACAGGCAGCGAGTATCCCATGCGCCGGCAGCAGTGCGAGGAGGCAGCAGCAGCGCTTGGCAAGACCAGCCTGCGAGATGCCACCATGGCTGACCTGGAAGGTAGGGACAGTCCCGCCCTTGGCTCGAGCTGCTCCTCAGGGCAGCCGGAGCTCTGTGCCCCATGGCAAAGACCAAGACTGTGGGGCAACACCTGGGTCGGGTGGGTGGGTGCACGCATGAGGAGGGGAGTGTGCTGCAGGTAAAGCTTTAGCACAGAATGGTTGCAGGATGCAGCCATGCAAACCCCCAGCAGCATCCCACAGACCCAGGTGGCTTTGCTGCAGCAACATGTGTATCTCTGCAGCGGCCAGGAGCTGTCTGGGTGAGGAGGTGTACCGGCGGGCCAGGCATGTCATCAGTGAGATAGCACGGACAGCACAAGCAGCACAAGCACTGCAGGACAGGGACTATGGGATGTTCGGGAGACTGATGGTGGAGAGTCACAACTCCCTCAGGTGAGGATGCACCAACCGTGAGGAAGGGCAGACTGTGTCAGGGGCACTGGTGTTAAGTTCCCTTGCCTGTTGGTGCAGCACTGGGGGCAGCCAGAGCTGTGTCCTGCCCAGCATCTCTCATGGCTTGGCATGTGGGAGATTTTAAGAAAAGCCCCATAAGCTTCTGCACTGAGGAGTGCTAGGACAAGGTAGATGCATGTTACAGATGTGTGTTACAGATGTATGCTGCTTACAGCAGCACACAGCAGGTCACAAATGCTTGCAGCCTTGCTCACCTATACATGCACTTCTAAGGCAGACAGCTGGACTGGGATCGGCAGCAGCCTGCATTGCTGCAGTTTGCTACAGCAGTGGATGCACCAAGAACAGCTTGAGGCAACCAAGCTGCATGCTGAAACTGCATGTTTCAGCTGTTTGTGGTTCAGGGGCTATGGCTGGGGTGCAGGACAGGGCTGATCAGTGTCTCCTCTCCCCAGGGATGACTACGAAGTGAGCTGCCTGGAACTGGATGAGCTGGTAGCAGCAGCCCTCGAGGTTGATGGGGTTTATGGCAGCAGGATGACTGGGGGAGGCTTTGGAGGCTGCACGGTGACGCTGCTGGAGGCTGGGGCTGCAGAGAGAGCCCAGCGCCATATCCAGGTAAGCAGCAGAAAAGTGCCAGGAGATTGACTTAAAGATCCCAAAGGAACACTCAGAGCCATGGCCCTGGGGTTGCCATTGAAGCTGTGCTCTTGAGGCCCTGGGGATTAGTGTAGCCCATCCAAAGCTCTGTGGGGATAGCCCCAAGGCTGTTGATGCTACTAAGCTCTTGGAGGCAGCTAAGCACGGTGCTCGTCCACTGCCCAAGGACCTTACTGCATTGGGAAAGTGAGCAAATATGTGCCAGGTGAGCTTCAGGAAGGCTAACTCTATCTAGGGAAAAAATAATCCCAGCCAAGTTTATGCAACGTTGAGATGAACACTGGCAGTTATAGTCTGGGAAAAATCTCAGTGTGATCATTAATGTTCTCTAAATCAGCAGCTTGGCATGCACCAGTAGCTGAAACACCAGCAAAATGGGGCTGTTAGAAAAAGGGGTCTGTGAATGTGGCAGAATGTGTCATCTGATGAGAAGCATGGAGAGAGGGAATATGAACAGGAGTTACAGTGAAGGAGGTCCATGGGGTGAGTGTGGAACTGATCTTCCAAAACAAGAACCAGTGGCCACAGGATAAGTTGGGAGAAAAACAGACAAGGAAGCACTGTGCAGAGCTAGTGGTGAGTTTTGTGCTGTTGCCAGAGGCTATGAAGGTTAATAGCATCAGCATGGTCAAAAAGGGACTAGAAAAAGTGATGGAGAACAGCCCATAAGGGGCTGCTGAGGGGTCAGCTTAGGGATGTGCCAGCAGCCTCCCTGCCCCATGCTGAGAATGGACCCAGAGAGTCCAGGCAGTGGCCAGGACATTGTACTGTCCCCAAAAAAGCATCTCATGTGTCTGCTGTTGGAGTGTGACTGCACCAGGGTTGGGGCTGGGCTGATCGGATAGGCCTTCCCACACTGCCATCCCCGAGCCCAGCCTCTTGCTGCAGCATGGTATTGCCCCAGAGCACCAGCACTCACTCTCCTCTTGTCTCCTAGGAGAGCTACAGTGGCACAGCCACCTTCTACCTCACCAAACCCTCTGGAGGGGCAAAGATGCTGCCTCTGTAGAGGAGCGACCACCTCGCCTGGGCTGGCATCGCTGCAGCTGCTTTCCTGGCTTGCAAGGGAATTCATTTGTCTGTCTGCGTCATTTGCCTAATAAATGCAGAACATTTGCACAGTTGTTCTGCACCCACTGAGTCGAGCCAAAGTCACTGGGCAACTTTTCTTCAGAGGGGCAGAGGAGACCAGTTGAACTCCAGTTTATACTGGTGTAATGAGCAAGTACCAGGGCGTCAGGGTCCAGTGTTGCCTCTGGAGCAGCAGCAGGCACTGCCTCTGCTTGGGTATCTACTTCTGGCACATGTCCTTAATATTTGTGACACATCGAGGGTGGGTGGGGGGAAATATTTTTTAAATATTTTATTTTTTAAGAAAGGGAAGAGGCAGACTGTAGAGAACACATTTATTGTGTGCAATAGGAAGCTATCTGATACAGACCCTCTGTCCGATTGGGCTGCTGGATCTGCCTTGGAAAGGCTGAAAACCCATCAGCCCTAACAACCAGATGAAAATTAAAAGGTGACACTGGCATAGTGTGATGCAGTAGGTTCATGTGCAGCCACCTTGCAGTGGGGATAGAGCCCCCTGGAGAGCAGCACCTGACAGGCTGTGCTCTTAGATAACAGGAAGGTCTTCAATGAAAGTGCTTGAAAATGGAGCCCCCTTTTGAGGCTGTTTTCAGTGTTTTACCCCAGACCCCAAAGCACAGGGAAGGCATCATGGAGTCCTTGTGCCGGAGGAGGCACATCAGCTGGAGAGGAAATTCCAATCAACAGTGAGACAAGAACCAGGGAGGCTGGAACCTGCTCAGGATGAGTGAGTGTTTCTTGAAGGCACAGTGGAAAAAAACCCAAACCACAGGACTGGTGAAGTATTTCTTGATGTAAGTCTAAAACTGACCCAGCCCCACCTGCAGCCCTGGAGACTCCAGTGGACTTTATTTACCCACATGCAGCTTTGGCTCAAACATGTTCTAGCCCTTGCACTCAGATGAACACTCCCGAGAGGAGAGGGAGCTCTTGGTTGTGTCAGCGCTGCAAAAGTCTGAGTCCAAAACACACACACCAAAAAAAAAAGGAAAAAACACACAAAAAACCCCAAACAACCCCACCTCCCCTCAAAAAAAAAAAAAAAAAAAATCCCTAAAACCCAAAACCAGCAACGAAAAAAAACACCAAAAGCAAAAAGGGGCAGGTCCAGCATCAGATGGAGTTAGGCAGATATAGGAAGATGTAGGCTGATGCTGCTGCCAGGGAGACCAGCAGCTGCTGTTCCAGTTGTGAGCTCTAATGCAGAACAGTGGCAGCTGCTGCTCCAGGCAGGATCCCTGCCTTCAGCAGGCTCCTCACCCACTCCTGGGCAGCTGCAGCTGGCAGAGGGCAGCAAGAGGCCACACAGTGCACTCAGAGCCAGGGAATGAGGCCCAGCAAGGGCCCTGCACCCGGCACTGTGTGAGAACAGGTAAAGCCAAGGCCTGAAGGAAGCTTACTCAGGCTGGTGAAAGTGCCTGCTGCTCGCAGGCTTGCTCTTCCCTTGTGTTCACTGATGGATCACAGGTCCCTTTATGGACACTGATGTTGGGCAAAAGAGCTTTTGAAAGATGCCAAACATCTGCCTAAAAATCTCAATGCTCTCCCCCTCAGCCATGCAAGAAATTCCAGGCACCATTCCCATCTCCAAGCACAGGTACTGGGGCCATGCCTGTCCCTCACTTCCAGGCAGCTCCCAGCCCTCCTGTGCATGATGCTGCTGCTGGAAAGTGCTCAGCTGCAGCCTTCTGCTGGAGTTTCCAGTGCTGGAGGATATAAAGCCCAAGGCAGAGCTAGCCAGCTCATCAACAGGCTTCCCACAGGGTTTAGTGGCCTTTGGATCAAGCCCTTAATTAATAACTTAGTTATTCATGTTTCTCAGCAATCACAGTCCCATGTGTAGCCTCCACATTGAGCATAGATCTCACCACCTCCATTTTTTTATAAAATAATAAAATACATTTCTATATATTTATATATATACTGAGAAAACTGTACAATAATGTATGCAAAAAAAGAAAAAAAGCTTCAGAGGCTGTCATGAGTAATGCTGTACAAATGAAAGGCTATACTTTGCTATCATGGTACCAAATGTTAGCAGTGAAGGATAGACACAAATAGGTGCAGGACGAAGCATTAGGTTACCCCAGACCTATGCAGCTTTCATAGAAAAAGCCCAAACAGAACAAAATAACCATCTCCAGTGGACATACAAGTTGCTAGAGAGCCTGGAGCACGCACAGATGGAAATGGTGATGCTATAAATCAGGATGTTGTCAGCTGGGATCTTCTCAAAACTGATGGTCTGAGAATAAATCATCCTGTTCCATTTATCTGGGAAGGCTGCAGCCATTGAGACACCTGAATTTCCGCAGGTGTATTTGGATGGATGCGCATTGAAAAATGGCATTGGAGTGAGTGGTGATTGTTCCTGGAAGACATCAACCACAGAACTGAGTCTCTGCAGAGTAGGAGAGGGTGGCCAAGTCCTGAAGGATAAGCACAAGCCTGGTGACCCAGCTGTGACAGAGCTTTGAGCGTGCTGGGCTCCAAAGCAGAGGTCCAGAGCTTGAAGTGCCATGGAAGGTCTCTGCCCACAGGAGGAGCTTCCCAGGCGCCACAGCAGCATCTTGGACTATTCCACAAAGTCCTGCCGTCCCGCTGGCAGGCAGCCTGCCCTGACTCAGGCCTCATAAAACTGCCTTTCCATCTGTTTGGTGAGGGTCCCACTGGACGTCATGATCCGGCTCACAAACTCTTTGGTGACCTGTTTGGTGAGGGTGCTGCTGGCACTCTCTACTCTCTGGGTTGTCAGGAGCATGCTGTCTGCAATGAGAAACTTTGTGGTCAGGACACCGTGCTAAGTATGAGGTCACAGGGAATAGGATCTGCTCTACCTGATGATTTCTGTCAAAGATTTCTCCTTAAATATCACTTTAATTGATGAAAAACCTCTCCAAATCAAGTGACTCAGTACTTAGCTATGTCAGTCAATAAGATGGATCTCCTAATAGCTCCTAAAAGCTCCTAAACTCTCCATGTTGCAGTGTGAATCCATGAGTTGCTGAACTCAGATGGGACAACTACATTGATGTAATTGAAGATGGTCATCACACTTCTTTTTTTCTGCTCTGGAGAGATCTAATCTTGCATGAAGAGCTAAGATTTGATCCCTAGTGATAGTCCTGGGGGACTCTAAGAACCCAGCATTCCTTCTGTGACTGGGTAGCACATGAGGAAATGACTGCAACTGCCTCTGGGGCAGAGCAGGGACATGGTGCAGGAAAGGGTCTGGTCCTCTTCATTAATCCTGCTGATGGATCCTCCCTCCCTGCCTTTGACACTTGAGGTAAAAGCATCCTTAGACCTTTGGACAAGCAGAGTTATCCTTTGCTCTCCAAGGGTTTCAAAGAAGACAGTGAGCCCCTACCTGTGAAGTGGGGATCCAGAGAGGAGTGGCTGATGCTGGTATTGGTGGTGTATTCTGCTGGGAAGTTGTACACTTCCTCTCTCATGTACTGCTGTCCTCCAAACTGGGAGAAAGTGCCTTGGGAGAAGAAAAAGGGATGAGGCATTCAGGAAATGACAAGAAGCATCCAACCCCTCAAACCTGCACAGTGAGCACCAGCAGACAGCTCAGGAGATTTCTCTTGCTGACATCAGAGCCAGGTTTAGAAAGAACTGGAAGGACTGGGAAGGTCTTACACTGTCCAGTGCAAGAAGCTGCCTCCAGGTATGTGTACAACCAAGAAGTTTCATAATAAATTAAACATTGTCTTCCATGAAGACAACGCTCTGCCTTGTGAGCACTGTCCCAGTCCTGATGCACTGAATGTGGAAGGATCATGAGAACCTGACAGTGTCTGTATGTCTTCAGTGAAAAACTGAGTCACCACCAAAGCTGGAAAGGGACTCCAGGAATTGTGTTTGCTGCTCTGAGAGGTTTCTTAACTTTGCACCTCTAAGAAGACATGGTACTACTGTACCTCCATCCTGAGATTCAATGGTGATGATGCCTTCTCTCTCTGGCCCAAAGCCTTGGGTGGTCTTGGCTTGCACTTTGAACTTGTATGGGACATTCTCATTCAGGTGGGGCACAGTCAGGGTGGTTTCAGGATTGTCTCCTTCGACATAGATATTCCTGGGCTCCCCTAATCCACACAGACATACCAGAAGTGAAGACAAACAGGTCTGTTCTAGTCGCTCCAAATACAATCCCCCTGACTCTAGCTGCTGTCTTAGCTTTCCCTAAGCTTTATGCCGCTCTCAGACTGTATGATCACATCCAGTTCTATTAAGGGTTAAGGCAACCCTATTTTAGTACAGTGGTGATCCACAACAAAAAGCCTCCACTGGGTTTGGACTATAACAAGCTACAGGTCCTTCCTCTTCCCACCACATTTTTTTTACACCAGACCATGCCGTGACACAAAGCAGCATGGTCCAGCAGCTTCCAGGCCTGGAATCAGGCTCATGCCCCTATTTTGTCTGCAAGCAGACAACTTTGTTGCTGGTCACAGCAAAAAAGCAGCAAGTGGTTGCATTTGCTGGAGGCATCTTGTGCTCTACGCAGGGAACTGGGCTTCCACAGCCTGGTACCATACCTCCTCCATGCAGCATCTCACAGGTAACCATGTAGCCCAAGATGGACCCATTGGGCTTGCGGGGTCTCTCCCAGCTGAGCTGCAGGGAGTCAGGGCTGAGGGCAGTGAACACAAGTGGCCCAGGAGCACTGGGTGTGCTCAGCGTGAAGGGTGAACCTGCAGGAGCACGAGTAAGAGATCAGTATCAGAGAAGGTGGTGAGGAGGAGCCGGGGAGGGATTTGCACACAGCATTTATGAAACGAGCTGCAAGGTCTCAGCAACTGTCCTGGTTTCAGCTGTAACAGTTACTTTTCTTCCCAGTAGCTAGTGCAGTGCTGCATGCCCACTGTATAAACTGGGGGAACTACCCAGAAGGGAATGATTGCTGCTTGGGTAAGGCTGGGTATCAGCTGGCGGGTGCTGAGCAATCGTATTGTGAACCACTGCTGGTTAGTGTTTTTTTCTTTTCCCCTTTTTGTTTTATATTAGCTCCCTTGTTATTTCCCTT